ATTAGGAGGTGCTGCTAGTCTCCTCCAGTCCATGTTTCCTGTGGATATATATATATATCTATATATATATATAATCTTTATTGAGGTCCAAAGACCTATAGAACAATTTCAGAAGAAAATACAGTTAAGATAGCCAACCACAAAAGAGAGAGAGAAACTGAGGCGCTCATTTTGTTTTGTCTCGAGCTTGATGATCATTGTTTCTTTTGACTTCCCAAAGAAACTTTGCCATGGCCAGTGTAATATCATCAAACCTGTCATCCAAAAGATATTTAATATGGGAGGCTTCAGATTTTTCCGGCAGATTTGGTAGTAGGGGTTTGATCATTTGGTCCCTTTCTTCCTCGTACTGCCCATAATGCAGTAAGATATGCTTCATGCAGTCGATGTTCTGAGAACATAAAGCCTATTCTGATAAGTGATGCCTCTCAGTCTACCATTTAGCCATACTCTGGATGTGTTTTTCTTGTAAACAAACTTACATAAAACTGACAGAAAGTCCTTGCCACTTATCAGGCTGCATGCCTGCCAGAGATCATTATAGGGGCAGCAGATCTGGGCTGCAAGGAATTCCTTGCCCATTGCTGCTGCCACAGTGGCAGCAACAGCTGCACTCCTTAGAGACCAGATTTACACCTCCCCTCCCAAATCAGGTCACCTCTTCAGTGGGCTCTTGGAAAATTAGGAGGTGCTGCTAGTCTCCTCCATTCCTTGTTTCCTGTGGATATATATATATATATATATATATATAATCTTTATTGAGGTCCAAAAACCCATAGAACAACTTCAGAACAAAATACAGTTAAGACAGCCAACCACAAAAGATAGAGAGAAACTGAGGCGGTCATTTTGTTTTGCCTCCAGCTTGATGATCTTTGTTTCTTTTGACCAACTAAAACTCATTGAACATAACAGGACTAGACTGTGCTCTGCATACCCCTTGAGATTCATCTGCAGTAACAGAGGGGTCAAGTTTCCAGTGGATGCAAGCAATTTCATCCTCAATATTTTTTGCAAACATGGTAATGTTAGGGTCTATAAAAGAGAACAGCATAAAAGTAGGAAAGAGAGGAGAAAAGAAAGGGGGAAATAAGAGAAAAAGGAAAGGAAAGGAAAAGAGGAAGGAAGGAGAGGGGAAAGAGAAATATGGGGAAGAGAGTAAAGTGTGTTTGTTTAAAATGCAGATGAAAGCTGTTCAGAAGGCAGATCACTGAAGATAGGTCACAAGAGGAGATGTCTAAAAACTTTTCATTCCTGTAGCTTATGAAAAGGACCCATCATTCTATTTTTTAATGAATATTTATTAGCATTTTCTATAATGAAACAAAAACAAAAGTAAACAAAAAAATAACAAACATACAAAAATACAAAACTTAAAAACAATTAAAAACACATAAAATTTCAATTGCTTATTTCTTTTAACTTATTTCTCAGATCTGCTCACACCTTCCCTTCTTGTATTCCAATTCAAATTATTAGCTCAGCAAATCCTTATTACTTATTAATAAGGACCCATCATTCTAAGAGCTTGTTCTCTTGTTGGCTTCTGATTTCTGTTCAAGAAAAGGCCAAACTCCCAGATATTAGGATGTCACCCCTCTTGCTAGCCAGTCTTCCCTTCAGGTCCAGGAGACACCTGTGGGTACAAAGGGACAATCTGGGTGACCCAAGAAGCAGGAGCTGTTGCCCGATGTTCCAGCAAAGTATATCACCCAGATGCACAAGAGAGCTGAGGTTCTGGTTTGAATCAACACTGTATCCAAATAAGCACGAAAAGTACAAATACATATTTATTAAATAATAATAATAATAATAATAATAATAATAATAATAATAATAATAATAATAATAACAAACTGTGAAGTAAAGAACCCTGTTACCATATAGGAATAAAAGATCATAGAAGAAGGTCACTTAAGAATTCGGGAACATTTGGGGAAAAATACCTACACATAAAAACAACAAACCTGACTTAGTCTAAGCTAGTGTATTTTAACATCAATTTCTGACCCCTCAAAGAGATGTGGACCCATCAGTGAGTACCACATCCCTTTGCGGGGCACATCTTCCCACTGTGATGTGCAACAACTGGGTATTAATAGGCTTAATGGCTCTCACACTGAAGGGAAGGTAGCTATCATGACTGCATAAAAAAGAAAATACTGATAAGCTACAAAACTGCCGGCGCAAACTTGAATGGCCCCATGGATACAAGCAGGTTCCAGGTTCCCCTGCCTTCTGGGAAGAGCATGTGTGTGACATGCTAATTGTTGATTACTTTGTGCCTCATTAGGATTAGGTTGTTTCCAGTTCAGTTTTACCATAAAGCCCAGGGGAGGAACACATTTATTTAAAGTACCCATTTACTGGCAGTGTAGGTGTGGTTGACTGGAAGAGGCACCTGGCTGACTTCCACAGAGTTCCTTAAAAAGATTGCATCCAATATGAAATAAGAGCTTTGTTTTACAATATGGAAATATAGGATTTCTGGGAAAGCATGCACTCTCTATTTCCATAATTTCCTGCTCCTCACTGGAACAGTCCTTCCTAGTTGGTACATTTCCTTGGCCCATAAATCTGTCCAAGTCAGCTCTTTCTTCTTCCATAGGTCACCTGCTGGTACCAAGTATTCAGAGGCAAACTTCCTTTGACAGTAGAGGTAGAACATAGCCTTTGTGGGTAAATTTGTCCTGCCTGAATTTCTCTAATCCTCTTTTTAAGTCATCTAAATTGGTGGCCATCAATGCCTCCTGTTAGGGTTGCCATATCTTGAAGAGCAAAAAAGAGCATAGCCAGGGTTCTTCTTATCCCTCGAAAATGGTAGATGGGATTTCAAGCGGGTATAAATAACTAGCTGGGATAAATTCAAAACAATGTGGCTTAGGACAGTCATCACCAAACAGAACAGCTTAGTCAAAGTATCTCTCCCTGTCCTGACAATCTGAACACAATTAGACCAAGGAGAGGCAAAGTTCTGTAAAATGATTTAATTAGCTCTCAGTAATGATCTTGGAGTCATTGTATTCTATTCAGTGCCTACCAGTGTGTCCCTGGCACCTTTCAACAGCCCTGAGGTATGTCTAGCTTTGCCAGCTGAGCAAAGTGCAGTATCTGAGCAGTATCTTGAGGCTTTCATTGCACTTTGATTAGTGGCCTGGAAGATTGTACATTGTTTTTTCCAGTTCGGTAAGACCCTACATCAAGTAAGAGCAAAGACAGAGGCACCGGATCAGAATATACCTTTATCCATCAAGGAGCCATCAACTTCCCATAGACCTTTGATGAGATAGTATTAGCAGTTTGTGCACATGTCTGTAGCAAATGAGGGCTATAGCCAGGCACTGAAGAATATGGTTTGCTGTCTCAGCCATTGTGGGAAGAGATTTCAAAACATTATTGCAAGCCATTCAAACAGTGCTTGCAGCAGAACAACTAAAGCACTAAATTAATTGTTCTGCTTTAATGATGGACACAGTCAGATGTCCTCAATTGACATTGCAGCCTTCTTGGGAAAAGTTGCTTATTTGGAGCTGTCCTTGATCCTGCAGTATCCCTACCAGGGGAGTTGACATCTTCCCTGCTGCCCTGCACCAATATATGGCTCCTTTAAAATTTCTGCTTTAAAATTGCTATGTAGATACAGCCTAATAAAACTGAATGGCAGGCATGCTTTTGAAATAAGAAATTAAAAATGCAGATTACAAAAAAGCATTGAGGAGCTGTAGTAGCCTGGCTGCATAAAACAAAAAAGTCTCAGAGGAGCACAGTATCAGATTCAGCTAGAGGCACTTTATTTAATTATTACAGAAAAACTCTGAACCACATAGGTGGGAAAGACCACATGTGTATAGTGTGCAAATCAATTGTTAGGCTCCAGTGCTTTTGGGGCAAGCCTTCCCTGCAGGGAGGAAAGTTAAGTTCATCCTCTGAAGGAACTTCAAACCAAATTTAGACAAATTCAGAAAATGTGGGCAGGTGAGGATTTTGTATAACTCTTGAATGGAAGCAGTCCCTCTCCCCAAGCATGCCAATCTCCAACTGTGGCTTCCTGAGAAAGGACGGGGCGAAGACTAACTTTTGGTATCAGGTGAAGGTGAAGGTAAAGGTAAAGGACTCCTGGATGGTTAAGTCCAATTGAATTCGAATTTGAGGTGGAGTGCTCCTCTCCAGGCCACACACTGAGATCTAGTTCTGAGGGCCTTCTGGCGATTCTGTCACTGTGAGAAGGCAACCAAACCAGAGGGGCATCTTGGTAGTGATGCCCACACTGTGGAAACAACCTCCCATCAGATGTCAAGGAGATAAGTAACTATGAAACCTTTAATGGTTACCTGAAGACAGCCCTGTATAAAGAGGTTTTTAATGTTTGATGTTTTATTATGTTTCTGTATAGGCTTGAAACCGCCCAGAGTGGCTGGGGTGACCCAGTCAGGTGGCTGGGGAAGAAATAATAAAATCATCATTATTATTAAGAGGAATCCTTAGATGGAGGCTATTTTGAGGGGCTTTTCTGTAGGTGATCTCTGGGCTTTTGCCCTTACCTATTTTGCTCTAAATTGCTTTCTTGAGTGTCTTCACCATTTACATTTAAATTGTAAATTATCTATATCAAAAAATAAATCTGAGAAGTGTCTATCAACAACTAATGAGATCATATACAATTCCTACGCTGAGCTTTGAATTTCAGTATGTTCCTCTTTAATCTTGTGGTGAACAACAACACCCATTCCCGGACCTCACTAAACAATTTGTTCCCAAGTGTGCCTGCGTCATGAGTCCATGGCCTATAAATCCCTCCAGGTAAGCCTCTACCTGCATCCATCTCTGTTCTGAGTCTTTCTAGAAGGATGAAGGCACTCCTGAGCGCAATGCCTTCCTCTTGGCCCCACTTCTGCAGGTAAGATGGGGAACATTTAATTATCTTGGAACAGATCACATTAACCCACTTAACCCCACAGCAACCCACTGGTGAGGAGCCAGAGGATTCCTGGATTCGCTATTACTGACTCGTGGTGTGGAAATCTGAGAAGCTGAATTTTCAAAGAGCCCGTGTGCTGTTGTGATTAGTGTTAGACAAGGATCCAGGAGGCCAGGGTTTGAATCCCCACTCAGCCATGAAGCTCACTGGGGGATCCTAGACCAGTCAACTATACTTGGCTAACCTACCGTATTTTTCCCTCTATAACACGCAGATTTTTTCTCCTAAAAGGAAGGGGAAATGTCTGTGCGTGTTATAGAGCGAATGTGTGGTCCCTGGAGCCAAAAATCAAGCAAAGTCAAATCGCGAGTCACGGAGAAGGGAAACCTGAAAAGAGTTTCAGGTTTCCCTTCTCCGTGACTGCTTTCCTGCATTCTGCCTCAGGGTCTTACTGCCCACCCTTCTCTGTTTGTTGCTGTGATTGCTGAAACGGAACAAAGAGCAGGGAAAGCCCCTCCCCTCCAGGCAAGCAGAGTGTCGTTCTTTCTAATTCTCTCTGTGCACCGGTGCTGCTGGGGAGAGGGAGAGAGAAGGGGGGGAGGGAGAGGAGAGAGAGGGGGGAGAGGAGAGGGGGGGAGGAGAGGAGGGGGGAGAGAGGAGAGAGAAGAGAGAGAGAGAGAGAGAGAGAGAATGGCTGGCTTGGGGGGAACTTTTGCCTTTCTTCTCCACCCGTTAAATCCCTCTCCAGCATCTTAGCCAGCTGCTCTCTGCACACCCCTCTCATGTCCCTTCTTTGTTTTCCTTCGCTCCCCAGTATAAAATGTGGTTACAAAGCATAGATCAACATGGATCTCAGGAATCTTTTGCATTGGGTCACCCAAATTCACCATCAGATCACATAGCATGTCATGGCTACACCTGCCCCCAAAATCACGCACCCATTGTGCTGGGGCTGCAATGGTCAAAAACGTAGTTAAAAAGCATGGATCCACATGGATCCTCAGGATCTTTGCATTGGTCACCCCAAATTCACCATCAGATACATAGCATGTCCAATGGCTACAGCCTGCACCAAAAAGCACGCACCCACTGTTTGCCTGGGACTGCAATGGTGCAAAAATGTGTTTCAAAAGTATGGATCCACAGGATTCTCAGGATCTTTGCATTGGGTCACCCCAAATTCACCATGCAGATCACATAGCATGTCCATGGCTACAGCCTGCAACCCAAAAAATCCACGCACCACTGTTGCCTGGGCTGCCAATGGTGCAGAAAATGTGGTTACAGAAGCATGGATCCATCAGGAGAATTTCTCATGGATTTTTGCATTGGGTCACCCCAAATTCACCATCAGATCACATGTCTGTGGCCACAGCATGAAGCACAAAAATGATACATCCACTGTTTCATCAGAATGTTTTTTTCCCTTGTTTTCCTCCTCTAAAAACGATGTGCGTGTTATGGTCAGGTGCGTGTTATAGAGCGAAAAATACGGTATGTGGATGGTTTCGCATTTATGCCTGCTAAGATGGTGCTATTTTGAATGTATTCATAAAAAATAAAATTCACCTTCAATGTGATTATGGACATCAGAGGCTTATTATTTTAAGAAAGAATTAAAACCTGAATGATTCCATTGATACAAGCACTCATGTGTATTATTAAGAACAGAGCAGCTGAAATCCCCATTATAATTAAACAATAATATTGTTTAACTAAATAATAATAAATAACTATAATCAGCTTTCAAGACATCTGAAAAATTGTTCATTGCAAAGCTGCCTGTAATGTGGGTGTCCTGTCAGACATTTTAGTTTTTTTAAATCTCATTCCCGCAGTCTTTCTTCTGTGCTCGGTATCTCCATCAGTGGGGGAACAGCTGAAGAGGGGGTTGGTTAGAGCCTCTCAATCTGATGTTTAAAGACGTGGTGTACCTGCTGGTTGTCATATGATGTGCAGTTTTCTTAAACTGGATGTTCTCACTATACATATATACCCAAGGTTTTCTATACAAATTCTAAGGTGTGGTTCTTTAGGCGGTATTAAGTTCTTTTAGGCGGTATTAAACTAAATTATTGCATGAGCGGAACAACTTCATCTTGTACAATGGCAACTTTGCCCTTCTTGCCACTCCCTCTGTGTACCCTGTGCCTGCCCACTGTGGGGGGACAGGACACCTTCTATCACCCGTAATACTTCTAACTTTATATGATGTTAAGTGTGCATTTACTCTAAGCAGTAAAATTACTTATTACAATTAATAATTAACATTTTCAGCCCTTTCTTTTTGGCAAGTAACCTGCCAGACTACCCTGTGACATGTACAAGCGTGTGTACAATTGGGAAAAATGGATTGATAGAGTTCTGTTTGTCTAATAAAATAGTAGGCTTTTAAAAAATGAGTCCCATCCTATTCCATAGTGAATAATGGGTCAACAAACTTTTAGGACGTTTGAGATATCTGTAACAAGTCCTCCTCTTGTTTACGTGATTTGTGCAGGTTTATTAATATGGAGGGTATGATTTCAACGTGAAGAATAATATTAAACTTGGGGGTTCTTGTTTGTTTAGGTAATCCCATGTTTTCAGCGTGATGGGTTGTTCTGCCTGCATGAAAATGGCTGTATTACTTTGAGAGTTCGCAGATCTGTTGGTTGTATAAACAGCACATTAAATGAAGATCCAGGTGAGCAAGCTACTCCAGTCTACTGAACTAGGCATCTAGCATTTGAAGTTACAAATTCAATGTTACAACCAAAATTTGCATTTATTCTTATTAAAACTTTGGCCATCAATTTTTCCCTAGCTGTAATCATTTCCAGTTATAGTAAATAACGTTGAAGGTGTTTGATTACACAAGTCAAATAAAATCCCTCCACCTGGCCCAATGCTGAGATGGAGATGAGTGTAATCCAACTTTGGCCTTGCCTTTCCACTGCAAATATTGCTGTGTTGGCCAGCAATATATGTAGCACTCACACTGAAATAGGTTAGTGACGCTCTGGCACAGATTCATTAAAATAGCGACTTGAACAGGGTATCGATATAGACATAAAGCTGTAGATGTTGACAAATGCACCCTGTACCCTCACATCAAATGTCTTCTTTAGTAATTAGTTACTATGTCTTTATTATGTAAATCCTCCAGCCTGGCCACTGACCTGCCTCTGTTTCAAATCCCCCAATATTTTGTGTACCTCTATATTGTTAAAAATAATGTCCGTTTAGTATCATACTATAGATGTAACATGGTAACCAGCAGAATTAGCACAGAGCCCAGTGGTTGCTACATTTGACTGAAAGCTGTGCGTATCTGATATCTCATGTTTTGACATTTGCAGAACCTGACCCCATTCAGGAGCTGGTCTATGACTTACGAAGTCAGTGTGATGCCATCAGAGTTACCAAGACCGTTCGCCCCTTCACTATGGTGTGCTGTCCTGTGAATGAAAATTCTGCAGCTCTCATAGTCAGTGATGGTAGAGTAATGATATGGGAGCTGAAGTCCACCATTTCAGGCCGAAGTCAACGGACTAGGTAACCTTACTGAATGTTCGGGGTATTTTTTTAATTAGTAGTTTAAATACAAGGAATCCGTGGACTTGACAATGCTGCTTCATTTCTAATGTTTATAGCCATGTTGTTTAGTACAACTATCTACAACAAGGGTTGTTGTTCAGCAAAGCTGTCATTTAAAATGAGCAGCCAGATGACTATGGCTAATAGGGACGTGGCATACATAACGTCTGACAAGACTTGTATATGATTTATACTAATGTGTGTATTAGGCCACAATTATAGGCTTATTGCACCTGTGTGATACAGCATGGGTTGTCATCTTGTTTCGTGTTTATTCTTGGTAATAGTGGTGCTGTCTTCTCTCACCTTCAAATCAAGTGTTGACATAAAATGAGCTCCCTCATTCTTAAAAGATCTCAGTTAGCTCCTCAAATATCATTCCATCAATTTAAATTAGGCATGATCACAACAAGCTATGTCTGTGCAGAGGACAAACTTGTATATAGCAGAGAGGTGCAGCGTGTTGATGTCATCTGTACATGAGGCACTCTAAGGGATCTCAGTTGACACAGAATGGGGAAACCAGCGATTAATTGCAACAGCGCAGTAACGTGCTGTGTTTTACTCTTGCCCCTGGACATGAATGCCATTTGTTTCATGAAGGAATACCATCAGGGTGGGGGACTAATCAGTTGTTAATTCCAGCCACTGAGAATCAAGGATGCTCTTTTTTGTAGAAAAGGAACCTTTCTGCGTAGGTCATCCTGGATTCTGTTTGGCGGTCAGGCTAAAGCATGATAGAACGTTCCATTCTTCAGTTTTATTGTAATTGTCTTTCTGCAGCAATTCAACTGCATCACCTCTGTACTCGCCAGTCTCATTCTGTGGAATACCTGTTGGGGCATCTCAGAATAAACTTCCAGACCTGTCACTGGATAATATGATAGGTAAGAGTATGTGAGCCATAACAGTCTTCTACATTTTACTTCAGCTTTGGTAACTAATTTAGCTTGCTATAGTATTCTAAAGCAAAAAGCTGTGTTTCACAGTTTTGAGATTGGTAATTGCTTATGGCCAAATCATGAAATCTATTTTGCTTTTTCTGTTATATTGTACATCAGGGCAAGGCACACTTTCTACCGAAGAGCAACAAAAAAGTTACTGTTTGCAAGAAGTGCATTTAAAGTTCCTGCTAACAGGGCTTCTTTCAGGACTCCCTTTGCCTCCCTTTGCTATCCGCATGTGCCCACCTCTCACCACAAAAAACTTAAAACAGTATCAGCCTCTCCTTGCTGTCGGTAAGTGTCCTTAAACAGTACAGTTGAATATATTGCTCATTTTGATTTTTTGCAGTGATACGTTTGTATGATAAACTGTGTGTCAGTCTGGGGACTATTGCTGTCTGAAATAGCATGCCCTTGAGTTGCTTGAATTACTTCCCAGAATAAATGCTGTCTTAAAAGAGAGATGAAAAGTTTTTCCAGTTCTTAGATATTCCTGCCATATATTATTATTAATTTTGTGATTTGTATCCCATTCTAAGACAAACGTTTAGTGTGGCTAAAAATGCATTTTCCCCACTCATTAAAATACAAAATGCTAAAAGAGCAGTGAATTTAAATGACCCCAGCTAAATACCTGCTTAACTCTGGCTCCAAAATGCCAATCAGCACATTAAGTCCTGGCTTATGTTTTAATATAATGCATTCTTAAACTGGTTTAGTGAGGTATTAAAATGCATCTTCTGAAAGCAATTAATGGATTCAGTGTATAATGGCTGACCTGATCCCATGCTATGTGAAGAAATCCAAATTGTGCCCACTCAGATCTTGTCATGGCTTGCCTTAGTTTTTACACAGCACAATAGATTTTTGAAGGTTCAGTACTGACGCAAGTTGAAGTTTGATGCTTACTGTGGCAAGTTTCTCACTGACTTTTTAAAGGAAGCATTTATGTATGAAATGAGTCCTAAGTTCAATGCATTCATTCTGCTTAGTGTAATGACAAGGTAATAAATCAAAATCAGTCTATCAGGATTCTGCCTTGAAGGTTACTTATGGTCTGGCACCCTCCTTACTTGAATATACAGTGGTACCTCAGTTTTCGAATGTCTCGAAAGTCAAACGTTTCAGTTTTCTAACGCCAAAACCGGAGGTAAATGCTTCCGTTTTCGAACGCGCCTCAGAAGTCGAATGGCTTCTGCTGAGTTTTTTTCCAATTTTCTCTATTGAATTTGCAGACCACCCTTTGAACCTAGGTTTTCGAAACGTTTTGGAAGTCGAGTGGTCTTTCTCTTCCCGGAACAGATTATTTCGAAAACCGAGGTCACCACTGTATAAAGTCTGTCCACTTGGATTATCTTCTACCCAACTACCTATCCAAGTTGCTACTATTTAATGAAGTATACCTTCAGCCTTGCGAGAAAAAAGGCTGCAAAAGTCACTTGCCTACTAAGAGGACCAGTACCTTGTGTTTTAGTATTGGCTGTGGAAAAGGACAGGCTCCTTTCTCCATGGGCAACATGGAAGCCCAGGCTGTTAGTGGTGTTAGCAGCCTGGTTAAAGAAAGCAGGGAGCTTCTTACCAATGAGCAGAACAGAAAATCTGCCCTCCACTGCCGAGCCTGCTTCATTTCTTCATTTGGTTGCAGATGAAGGGACTTGCCTTCTTCGTGGCCGGCATAGAAAAATGTAGTTGGCTGGTCGAGGGGGTTGTGGAAACATTCTGTCTCTCCTCCACCAGCTCATGTGAATTTCATCACTTGCTGCAGAGAAGGAGAAGCTCCTTCCCCCTAGCCTCCTTGGGCGCTATTTTTGTTAGCATAGGAGTGAGAGTGGCCCATTTCACTTCCACTGCACTACCCACTTTCTTCCATGGAAGTAGTCTATGTAGCCAATGGCTACCCGGTAAGCTCTTACACTCAAGGCTAGTGTAGTTACCAGTGGATTGGGCCTAATGTTGTGGGTGCATGATGTAAAACCTGCCTAGCAATCTAATCCATCACTTGAGTATGAGTGAATAAAGGAAATTATGTGGAAAAATAAGTATAAGAGATTCACTTTTGTGGCGGGGAGGGGGACAAAGTTGATTTTAAAATGTCAATGTGATTTCTGTAAATTTTGCAAATATTCAATTGACTCCTTGCAGGAACAAGCAATGGCTCAGTCCTGGTGTATAATCTTACCAGTGGGCTCCTACACAAAGAGTTAAGCATTCATTCCTGCGAAGTCAAGTGAGTTTCTTTAAATAGTTGTTGATTTTCTGGAGAAAGGAAGATTAAAATGTTTAATGTGCTATAAGCAATGCTGGCATTTGGCTTAATCATAAAATAGTATGCAGGAAGATTGTTCAATAGGGTGGTTTTCTTTTGCAAATAGAGCCATAGTTCTGTGAAAACTGTTCTGCTTTATAAATATTTGAATTTGGTAACTAATGTGTGTGTGTTGATCAAGGCTGAACACAAGCCTTTGTGTCCCTAGACATTGCAGCATAGAGAATTTCTGCCTAATGTGAGTCTGATTACAGCTATATTTATAAGGACCATACTATGTGCGAGGCGGTTCCACAATTCTTCCTCCTGACTGTGTTTTGTATTAAACAAAAGCCCCAAATGGCCATGGAAGTCTGAAAAGAGGAATGGAGGACCAGCAGCTATGGGAAGACCATGGACTACTGAACTCCTAACTCTCATCCCACTGTTTGTCCTGTGTCGTTGTCCCTTGTGGGGTGGGGGGAGGTGGACATGACAAGTAGGGAAAGGGTTGCACGGTCCTTCAAACCTGCTGACAGTCCTTCACCATTGATCTTAGGCTTACGTGGCTGCTTATTTATTTAAAATTAAAACTTCAGGATATGGAATAATAAAATGGCTGTTACAAGTAACTTGGTTGCTACGACTCTTGCTACGACATATTTCATTGCAGATCAGTCTGTTCACGGAGACTTACTTTTGTGCTACAACTGCATTTACAAGTAGATATACAGTCTTATGAGATGCTGCCCCTAGGTAACAATTCAAGAGGATACAGTCATGCTCAGCATGTTTTGTGAGCATCTCAGTGAAATCTGAAACTAGAGTAAACCAGACTTGTTGCAAAAGCCTGCAGAAGTTACTAGCCTGGAAACATTTGTAACCTGCTCCTTTTTACTCAGAAGATTCCACTTCATTTCCCCCCCATGGGTGCCGCTCTCATTATTATCAGGAAGTGGTGCCTTTCTGTGTCCCCCCCCCCCCGTTTTTAATAATGGCACACCCACCAAAGGGAAGTGCTGTTGGAGACAGTTCAAGCTGCCTGAGCCAGTCCCTTCACCCAGAGTATCTCTGGGCCTACAGGCTTGGGCCCAGAAGCTGGTCCACCTGGCAAAGCAATTCAGGTTCCCCCTGCTTTGCCAGCCTATTCAGCTTCTATGTACCTATCGCCTGAGGAGGAGGTGAATCCACTTCCTTTGTAGCCAGTATAGTCCATTGATGCTGGCTGGTAAAGCAGAGCTGTGCTCCTGCTTCACTCACCTGCATGGAACTCCTGGTCAGAGTCAAGACAGAAATAAACAAGCATGCAATTTGAATATACAATTACCCATTTGGTACTTGAAGCACCAGGTGTTTGGTCACAGATATGCCGGAGCTGATTGAACTACTGGTCTCTTGTACCTACATGTTGATCTTTTTTAAAAAAACAAAACTTGCCACTACCTTCCAGGATGTGGTATGCTGGAAAAGAAATGTCTGTGACAAACATTATTTCTGTTATCTATGCACAGAGATAGCACAGTTGGTTCTGATAATGCTTTTTTCCCAGGCTACAAACAAATCAGAAAGTGGTTTATGCAATGCAGTACAACATGACATTTATGTGTGGCACGTGGCAGATCAAATCGCTTTGGCTTATATCACTGCTAAAGACATCAAAACACAAGAAGCAGTTAACTAGAAGTGGGTGATCATGAAAATCTGCTGTGAGCTTTATTGCCAATTTCATATAGAGGATTTCTATTGCACACAGCAGTGTCTAGGGAAAAGAGTATTTGCTTTTAATCTTTGTCTAATTTCTTTTCTCTTCCATCATGTGCTACTGTAACTTTGATATTCTGTTGCTTAGCTTTTTGAGTCTTTTGAATCCTGCCATGTTTTATATTAATATTAGAACATTTAATGCTTTAAACATTAGTACTAATATTTCCCCAAAGTTAATTTTAAAACTATTTAAAATGCCTTATCTCATTGCAGTTTGAAAAGTGTCTTACATAATTTTATTTGCTTCACTTTAAGCATAATTATACTTTCATCTTTTTCTCAGTTTAATAATTGATAATGTTAGTTTGGGCATTGGAAAAGCCCAATCTTAAATGCAATCAAGTATTAAAAAACGTTTTGAACATTTTAGATTTTAAATTAAATTTAACCGAAATTTGCACGTGGCCCATAACTATTGGGACTACATCAGAAGTGCGTGAAATAAAAAAATATTTTTGTAAGGATGGACAGAAGAGTGACAAAATGCAACTGAATTTTACATTTTCCAGCTACAGAACCATGGAACCTATTCATTATTAATTGTTCTGTTTTATATATGAAGTAAACAAAATATATTCTGTTTTGGTAAATAAGTTATTATTCTTGTATATAGGTTCTGAAATTATGGGTATTTTGAAAGGTAAAAGGTAAGAGTTCAAAAGCATACCTGTGCAAGTCGACAAAAAAGGTACTGCTGAGGCGGGAAGGTAAATGGCATTTCTGTACACTCTGGCACTCATCATGGTGTTCCTTTGTGCCAGAAGCAGTTTAGTCATGCCGGCCACATGACCCAGAAAGCTGTCTGTGGACAAAGGCCAGCTCCCTCAGATATTTTGAAATATATTTGTCAGTAAGCATTGTGGAACTGATTTACAAATGAGTGCCTGCCATATATTTTCTTACCAAGTCCTGCAGAATCAAATAGAGTAAACTCTCAAGTGTGAACAGTGTGGGTATGTGGACATAGTCAGCAACCATTTCCTTCCTTTAAAAATAAATAAATAAATAAATAAATAAATAAATAAATGAAATCTGCTGTATTTCCAAATTGCTCAGGCACTGTTTGTGCTCACACCAGTTTTATCCTAGCAACAATCCTGCAATGTAGATTAGAGTAGACCAGGCTTGGCCAAACTTGGCCCTCCAGATGTTTTGGGACTACAACTCCCATCATCCCTAGCTAACAGGACCAGTGGTCAGGGTTGATGGGAATTATAGTCCCAAAACATCTGGAGGGCCAAGTTTGGCCATGCCTGGAGTAGACTAAGAAAAAGTGAATGGCTTAGGGTTACTCAGTGAGCATTTTGCCCCTTCCAGAAGGTATTCATCTAAATGGGTAGCAGCTTGGTGATATCCAGAAATTGGGGCTTACAATTCCCACCAGTCCCAACCAGCATGATGAGGGATGACTGGAGTTGTTGTAGTTCAAAACATCTGGATGGCAGCACCTCAGCTAGTCCTGCTCTAAAGCTCTGTGGGACTTTACTGAATGCATTGAGGGATGTGTTTGCATGCAGGTGCTCATTAGAACAAGCAGGTGTGTATCAGAACTGTTGAACTGATAAGCAACAATTTTAAAATAGCAAGGTGGAGGGGAAGGAGAGCCTAGCAGTTATTTCTCTTCTACAGGCCACATTTCCTCACAGAGGCTGTATGAATTTAATATTAAAAGAGTGACTTGAGTAGGTTGCCTTGGGTTAGTCAGAAGTTAAGAAGTTGCAAAATTCAATATCTTTCTATTCCATAGTTAAAGTGGCTGTTACAAATTGCACTGTATATAAAAATATATGAGCCTTGCACTAAAGAAATAGGTGCAGTTCATAAAACTGGTGTTCTGTGACTACTAATTGCATCCAATGAGAGGTAGGTGGTTTTTTATGCCAACTTATCTGAAAAATGGCAATATTCCAGTAATAGATTGCTCTTGCATTAATGCTGGAACATTTGCTCTGATTTAATGCAGTGAACAAATTTCTTGCACCTTTATTCAAAGGACATTAGCGGGAAAGGCTTTATCAAGCATTTATAAGCAGAAGTACACTTGACTCCCAATGCTTCTAAGTGGCTTTCCCCCATCAGCATGAAACTATATTTCTCTCTATGTGTGTGTTGTGTTTAGATGTAGCAGAATAGCCCAGAATTCCAGAACAAAAAGATTCTTCTCCCCAGGACTCAGATAATAAGGAGAGGACAAAAATGGGTAATGGGTTTTGTGTGTTGGAAACTTTTTTAGTGGATTTTGTCCTCAATTAAGAATATTTGTGCCATAAATCTTAATCCTGTAGCTTATATTGCACAATCGAGTACAATAAAGTGTGTACAATAGAGTACACTCATCTTAACACATCAATGCATCTAAATTCTCAGTGGGTTAAGAGTAAATCATTAAGATCACAATCTCAAGTATGTTTACTTAGGACTCAAGACAGTGCCATACACTGATTACTGTGGGGAATGAGTGTGTCAACCTGCATCTGGGAACACCTAAACACTGGATTGTGGAACACTGCATTGTGGGAAACCTAAAGTGACCATGGTGTGTCCTACTGCAATTTGTAAAGATCTGGTTTCAGCACCATAGGAAGCTTCCTTATCCCGAGATGTGTAGAGCCGTTGACACAATTGCACTTAAGTGGCCTTGTCATCACTGTGGAGTGTGCAGGCTGCCTTGCTTCTCTAGTGAGTTGCACGCCATGAATCGGGGGTTGATGCCTACAGTGCTGGTGGAGTTAACATTTGTACTGAACCTGACTTAATATAGAGGAGAG